TTGCAGTTAGGGTTGGGGTTAGGGTTAGGGTTGAGGTTAGGGAGATAGTTGGGGTTGTAGTCAGGGTTGCAGTTAGGGTTGGGGTTAGAGTTAGGGTTGCCGTTAGGGTGCCGGGGCTAATCGCTGCCTGCGGCACCCGTCTCCGCGCCGTCTTCCCGGCAGGACCTCACCATGCAGACGGAGCTGGAGGCCGTCAACGGGAAGAGGGTGCGGGCGCTGGAGGTGTTCGCCCACGCGCTGCGCTTCTTCAAGCAGCACGCCGTGCAGGTAGGGCCGCGCTGCCCCGCGCCGAGCGCGGCGGCGCCCCGGGCGCGCGCCGAGCCCGCCGCCGTGCGTCCCGCCGCAGGAGCTGCAGGAGCAGTGCCCGGCGCTGCCCGAGAGCGGCGCCGTGCGCTGGGTCATCACCGTGCCCGCCATCTGGAAGCAGCCGGCCAAGCAGTTCATGCGGGAGGCCGCCTACGAGGTGAGCGCTGCCCGGGGGGACTCGCACGGGGGGCAGCGGCCCACGGCACCGGAGGGCAGGGCGCACACGGACAGAGGATATCCAATGGGTCACGGATGCCCTGATGAGGGATTTGCACCCCTGGGTGCACCAGGGGTGCACCCAGGGGTGCAAATCCCTCATCAGGGCATCCGTGACCCATTGGATTGCAAACCCATGGGTGCAAATCGTGGGGGCTCCCTGCAGCCACAGGGTCCCTGGAAGAGCTGGGTGCAGCCTGCAGGGCTGGGCAGAGGGGACCTGCACCCGCCATGTGCTGTGGGCTACAATAAATCCACGGGATTCACCCCAAAGTAAAGATCTCGTGATAGCTGACCAGGCAGGAGGGATGTGCACAGGGAGAGGCTGGCGGTGCCCAGCCCGGAGGCCGAGGCACCCCGGGTGCCCCCCTCAAGGCAGCACCTCCGTCCCGCCGCAGGCCGGGCTGGTGTCCCTGGAGCACCCGGAGCAGCTGCTGATCGCGCTGGAGCCCGAGGCCGCCTCCATCTACTGCAGGAAGCTGCGGCCGCACCAGCTGCTGGAGCTGAGCCCCCCGCCGGCCGCGCGGGCCCCCGAGCGCACCCCCGACTCCTCCTTCCGGCAGGGTGAGCGCCCGGGAGGGCCCCGAGCGGCCCGGACGCCTGGGCCCCGCAGCGGTGCCTTTCCCGGGAGCGCCGGAGCTGCTCCGGGCACGTGGCTCCCCCCTCGCTCCCCCCGCACTGGCCGTTTTGGGCCTAAACTCTGCAGTTTGGGCTGTTTCTGCTGGCTCAGCCCTGCGCCGCCCTCGATCCCTTGGGCGGCTGGCCCAGCGGCCGCGGCCACCCCGCTGCTCCCTGGTTCCTCTGCGTGTGCTGGGGTCCCCGCTGTCACCCTCACTGTCACCGTCACCCCGGCTCTGCAAGGGGGGCTGGTGGCACTGCCCCCCCAGCTGCTAAATGAGGCTGGTGACCCCGGCTGGGGCCAAGCGCTCCCTGCCCTTCCGCCTGCGCCGGCGGGAAACTCCACCCGGGCCGGATCCAGCTAGGAATAACATGGGAAAAGGTGGTGGCGCCCGGAGCCGCGGCTGCATGTGGGGCTGGGGTGCTTCCTCCTCTGTCGGGATACCCCCGCTCCTCTTCCTCCGCGGTGTCCTCGCGAGGGTGTCACCGTCCTCCCGGGCGTCGCTTCGGCGCGGCCGGGGCCTCACGGCGGCTCTGCCGGCAGCCCGGGAGCAGCTCCGGCGCTCCCGCCACAGCCGGACCTTCCTGGTGGAGTCGGGCGTCGGGGAGCTCTGGGCGGAGATGCAGGCAGGTGAGACGGGGGGCAGCGCCCCGATCCCCCCATCTCGCCCTGCAGAACACGGCCAAAAAACGCTGCAAACAGCTGCTTTGCCAGGGAAGGGAGTGCGTGGTGGTGCACGCTAGTACATGCCACTGATGCATGATGCTGCGTGCTGCTGTGTGCTGCACATATTGTGCATGCTGGTGCATGGTGCTGCATGCCGGTGCGTGTTGCACATGCCACATGTGCTACTGCATGTGTATGCTGCTAGTTGTCAGTGCATGCTGGTGCATGTCAGTGCACGCTGCTGCATGCTGCGCATGCTGTGCATGGTGCTGCATGTCAGTGCACGCTGCTGTGTGCTGCGCATGCCGTGCATGCTGGTGCATGGTGCTGCATGTCAGTGCATGCTGCTGTGTG